ATCAAAATGTCGGTCAGCTCAACAACGGGATTTATGCTCACGCTGTCATTGTGCACGCGCGTGAATTTGTTGATCCAGTAGACCAGTACATTCACACAGAAACAATTGAAGGACTTTGGATGCAAGCGAAACGTAAACTTCGCTAGCAGATTGGTACTAGTCGCGGTCTCTTTACCAGCTACTTGGGGGCTTTTCAGTGGCGCAACAGTCACAAGGAGAACGTTTTCGGCTGCTATTTGCAATTGCTATGCACCAATTACAATATTTAGTATTTACTGACTGGTTTGTAATTTACAGTTATTTGCAAAAGCTATGACTGACATTTCTGATGTTTTCTAACAATTTTTTTCATACCAAATAATTTGGGACCGGACTTCGGAGGATTGCCAAAAACAGAAACCCTGAAGAATAAACCAGACCCTTCTCTTCGTGACCCACCATCAATAAACCAGACCCTTCTCTTCGTGACCCACCATCAATAAACCAGACCCTTCTCTTCGCATCAATAAACCAGACCCTTCTCTTCGTGACCCACCATCAATAAACCAGACCCTTCTCTTCGTGACCCACCATCAATAAACCAGACCCTTCTCTTCGTGACCCGCCACCAACCGTCTCCTAAAATCTCTATATGCGAACAATACCCCGTCACCTCAGTAGATTAAAAAAAAAATCCTAATGCCTCCGTACAGGAGATGTTCATGAAAGATAGACTTACGCGGGACACGTTGGTTTTCCCAATGACACGATATTCATCAAAATTTCTTTTTGAAAAAAAAAAAAAAAAAAAAAAAAATGTGATATGTTCTCCCCCAATCCCCCTCACCCCTGGGGGAGAAGGCACGCCACCTACAGCAGCAAATGTTAATGCTTCCTTGACAAGCGGAAGGTGTGTATCGTTGCTTATTTCATACATACGTCCTTGTATTATTCAAACACAGGCCGGCGCAACTTTTTTTTCTTTTTTTGTTAACGGTTCTGTCGCCTTGTTGTTGTCAGGTGAGGCGGAGAGCTGTATTCATCTCGAGGCATTTTGTTTTCTAAATATGGCGTTACCTTTGACCTCTGGTGCCTCGCCATTTCTGACCACACTCTCGTTTAAAGATTTAGAATTATATAAAGCTTTATCCTTTCTCTCTCTTTTTTTTTTCTTTTGTATTACAGTTGAACATAGTTTTTTACCGTTTCGCATTTAAAACATGTCAGCCATTACAACTTGTGTGATATTGAGAGTATTTTTTTTTTTTTTGTTTTTTTTAATTTGATTTTACCATATTTGAGGGGAAGTTATGCATTTTCTGTGAACCACTAAACAGTAATATAATACACTTATCAAGGGAATTTAAAATGTGGAACAAACCAATTCAGGATAAGAGTTTATGTATTTCATGAATTAAACCAAAAAGAGTTTTTTTTTTCTCTCCAAACCCTGAATGAAGTGCATGCGATAGACAAAATTTGAACCAGTCGATTCGAATGTGTCCATTTCAATAAGGAATAAGTAGGAGCAATACAGTTGGTTTTGTTCTTTTCTACTTATTGACTTGATGCGTATTGTTAAAGATGGTTTGGGCTGAGAGCAGCTACAGTAAAAAAAATTAATTTAGTTTAAAGCTCGGGGTTCAATATATTTTTTTTTGTATAGGTTAACTGCTAACGTAGAGCAGAGACACAGCGGCGTAGCTGTCATAGGAAGGTGAAGGTGAGATCGGGCAGACAAAACTTATTTAGAATTCACCCGCTGCCTTCAGGTCTTAAACAAATCAACCCCTGTAAATGTATGCAAATGAACCCCGGGGAATGGGTTGGTTCTCATTTTTTTTTTTTAACACGTGTGCTTACATACTCTTGGCACGGATGTGTCACATGTCACGTGACCCCAATCGCGCGGTCACGTCGGGGGTAGCTGTTTGCTTTGGCGCCAGACTAAATTTATTCCAGGTGCTTCGGGATTAGTCAAGGCTCATAAGACTGTGTCCACCTGACACCGGCTGGGTCAGCGACCAAGGCAGTTACATTCCACAAGACGACATTTCAAACAGGTTCTACTGTTGCGTCAGCTGAGTCGCGGTCTCAGAAAATAGCAATTTGATTGTCAAGGTTCAATGGCGGTTTGTCTGTCGGGTCTATCCCCATAAAATACATTACAGTACCATAGGGAACAGACATTTTAAAAGGGCATGTCATTTGAACACTAAGAGCATTCATTGTAAAAAAAAAAAAAAAGCGACTGGGTGCGCAATGAGGGATCTTGTTAAACAGTGGCTGAGATGGCCATTTCGTGTCTTTCTCACAAAGTTGTGCAGTTTGAAACGTAAATAATACTGTTTAACGTGTTCTATACACATTCTGATAAACTGTCTTATGTATTAGACTATTGTTTCCATAATGCCGTTTAACGCCGTCTTTTAATTAGCGGAGAAAAAAAAAGGAAGCACAAAAAACGCATTGTACCAAAACTAGATATTTGCAACATCTTTGCCGTGCTTCTGTACGGAAACCAGATATTTGAAACATTTTTGCCATGCTGTACCAAAACTAGATATTTGCAACATCTTTGCCGTGCTTCTGTACGAAACCAGATATTTGAAACATTTTTGCCATGCTGTACCAAAACTAGATATTTGCAACATCTTTGCCGTGCTTCTGTACGGAAACCAGCTATTTGAAACATTTTTGCCATGCTGTACCAAAACTAGATATTTGCAACATCTTTGCCGTGCTTCTGTACGGAAACCAGCTATTTGAAACATTTTGCCATGCTGTACCAAAACTAGATATTTGCAACATCTTTGCCGTGCTTCTGTACGGAAACCAGCTATTTGAAACATTTTTGCCATGCTGTACCAAAACTAGATATTTGCAACATCTTTGCCGTGTTTTGCCATGCTGTACCAAAACTAGATATTTGCAACATCTTTGCCGTGCTTCTGTACGGAAACCAGCTATTTGAAACATTTTTGCCATGCTGTACCAAAACTAGATATTTGCAACATCTTTGCCGTGCTTCTGTACGGAAACCAGCTATTTGAAACATTTTGCCATGCTGTACCAAAACTAGATATTTTCAACATCTTTGCCGTGCTTCTGTACGGAAAACAGATATTTGAAACATTTTTGCCATGCTGTACCAAAACTAGATATTTGCAACATCTTTGCCGTGCTTCTGTACGGAAACCAGATATTTGAAACATTTTTGCCATGCTGTACCAAAACTAGATATTTGCAACATCTTTGCCGCGCGGCTGTACCAAAACTAGATATTTGCAACAACTTTTCCGTGCCGTCATACAGTTGTCCTAATTAACAGATCGGTTGGTTTTTTTGACGTCAGTGCGGAGCCGTCGCGTCTTTAAAGGCTGTGCGCCCCTTGCAGTCAACGCTGATAGTTCATTTGAGACAACTTCATCACAACTTTGAGACCTTTTAAATATCTTTGGTCCCTCGCGGCCGATGGGGATGCAAGGTTCACGTTACGGCCCTTTGTCAGTGACGGCTCTGAGTCAAGGACGGCACTGTGTCAGCGACGGCCCTGAGTCAGTGAAGGCTCTGTGTCAGTGTTCATGCACAATGAAATGAAGGACGCCAAAAATTATTTTAAATGATGTATTCCATTTTGTTTTCGATGAGGACTTGAATATCTTGAGTTGATGCAAGCCAACTCCTTTGAATTCAATATTTAGACTTTGATGCGCCGAAAATAAAACTTGCAACATGGTTTTATTATTTTTTTACAGACATGTAATGCACATATATAATTATCAATTATTAAATCTTTGGTCTTGTAAACTGTATTAATCTATATAACGTGTGCTGCCTTGAAATAATCCCGATTTCGTGCGTGTGTTTGTGTGTGCAGTGAGTGTGAGGTGGGGGTAGGTGTGACCGCCACCCCACCCCCGCACTTGTTAAGGTGTTCTAAAATATTTCAATGAGTGTGTTTCACCAACCACAAGCTACATGGGGTATTCATCCATACCCCCCTCCCCACTTTTACTTGCTTCAAACCTCTCCTTCATACCTGTACCATCCATGTAGTGGTAAAGAGACGTCAATTTAAGGCCATGGCTGACCTGTCTTTCAGTTTGACATTCAGATGGAAACGAGGCAAACATCTAAATTTAACTCATCACACAGTGCAACGGCGGTAGGATTTGTACAAGAAATAGGCCATCATCGGGCAGACGTCATTATGTGGAAAGTTACGGGAAGAACAGAGCAGGGTCCTTATTTTGTCACTCATGCTGATGAGGACACTTTCTACTTCATTATTATATATTACCTTACCATTGCATGTAGAGCATCAAACAAGTACAATTTTAATATGTCGTGGAGCTGCTTAACTGTGGGATATCGACAAAGAAGTGTTGTCAAACTGAAGATTTGAAGAGAAGCGATGAAATATATTTTAAAATGCACACATGTCAAAAAAGTACAGGTATGCCTCAAATGTAGGCCTCAACATTGGGTCACGCTCACAGTATATAGTGTTGCTGTTTGACCCCAAAAAAGTCAAACCAATATATACATACATAAGTAAACGTATACCATGCAGGGCCAATGTACCTCTTGATGATGGCAGTGCATAAAGTGTCTTCTTCAGACAAAAAATAAATAAACAAAGCGTTAACCACTGGTCCAAAAGTGTTCTCTTATGTATGACACCATTAGGTGATTGATAACACCTTAACATGTTGCTTAGGTAATCATGTTCTTAAACTTTGGTCAACACAGTTCATGATAAGGGTGTACTTCACTCCGAAATGTAACAAAGATATGTTATACTCATCAGTCAAGACCCGTCAAAAGGGGGGGTAAATGATGTTATTTTTCTCCCAATACATGACTTTTTAATGAATTTATGCTTATATATTAAGCATGAGTACATCACCGAATAATGGCGTAGACAATGCGTGAACTTCCCATCTACTAAAGCTACTTGAAAAAAAAACATGCATTCAAGTAACACACTTTATAAAAACACGCCAAATTCGTTCTAACCTAACTTCTGGGTATTTTATTTTCCGCACTTATTGTACACACATTTTACAGCCATACATGCGTAAATAAATATCTACAGAATTATTATTTGTGAATGTGCACATTAGTTAAATGCACGCACTAGGAACTTTGAAGATTGAAACAAAAACAAAACAAAAAAAAAAAGATTATGAAATGAGATGATAAATAACATTCAAGACGACTAGCAAATTAAACCGGAATATAAATGCGTCGCAGGTACGGTAGGTAGGCCAGTATTCTTGCGCGAATTAGCCGAACAATCTCAAAAGTTAAACGAGTTTTTTTTTTACACTATTTCGATCCACATTTTTCAGTGGCAAAAAAGGAAGAAAAAAAAAACATGGCTAAATTCAGAAGTAAGGACGGATGGCTATCTTTCTCTAATAGATTGTAATTATGGTAGATTCGGTCACTAAACAGTGAAGATACGTTAAATATATCAGCATCCGATATCTACTCACGTTGTCCGCAAGTGTAGCAGTTAAGGTTACGAGAAGCTTTAGTGAGTAAATAGCAAGGAAAAGAACATTGGTAAGCAGATATTTTCTGAATGAGCAAATAATAATAATAATAATAATAATAATCAGATCAGATGAACCCAATTGATCAGGAACACATTAAACACGAAAGCATTAATTATAACAATAAATATTTTTTTTTTTAAAATTGGATATTCTATAAATATTAATTACAACGGCAAATGCCTATAGGATTCTGGAAATAAAACCACAATAATCGTATACAGGAAAGATGAAAAAACAAACAACAACGTCTGTTTTGTTGTTGTATACGTTTGAATGTAATCTCAGATTATGAACGCTAGCATCCCGGTTTATAAGTATTACACTCTAAGTAAATTAAAACAACAACAACAGTACACAAAAGTCTTTATATAAAACAAGATCAAAGTGCCGGCAAATACCCATAAGATGTGCACACAACGCAGCTGTTCACCTGTAATGTTGATTTAATTCACCTGCACCGGTCATGCACACGTTAAAACTACCACGGTTACAATTTTGATTCCTAAAAAAAAAAGTTATTATAACATCCACCATATCCATAGCAGACGATGTCAATTTTATGGAAATAAACAAAGTTTTCCATCTTTAGTTATAAGATTCGATCTAGGGAACATGATTGATATCTTTTCAAGACTGCTACTTTAGAGTCAAAGCGTGCGATCTTTGGAAAATACTTTTTAAAAAAATGTCATTAAATTAGCATCGCATTAACCTGAGGGCAAATGATATTTAATCCAAAACTTATTATTTATTTTTTTTTGGGGGGGGGGGGGGGGGGGCTTTTTTTTTTTTTGGGGGGGGGGGGGGGGGACTTTATCTTAAAATTGGTTATTATTCTTGAAATGACGTGATTTTGCCAGTTTGATCCATTGTTCCGTGATCTTCTGCGATTTAAAGCTTTCAATATCCTTAAGAAGGAAGACAACCTTTTTGTTAATCTCTCCCCGACAAATTTGCTGTAGGTGGAAGAAGATGAGAAGTTCCACTTGACTGCATCAGAGCGCGGTATATCACTGAACAGAAGTTGCCAAGCGCCACCCGATTGCATCAGAGCGCAGTGTATCACAGGAAGTAGTCCGGCAAGGTCTTCGATTTCCCGCTCCGTATTTGTACCTTTGCGTGCTCGAACTGGGTCAACCGTTTACTTCCGGAGTCGTCCACTTCCATGAGGCCCGCCTGGTTGCCGCAGCGGTAGCAGTAGTTGGGCGCGCTGAACACCGTGACCACGTGACCGCCGTGGCACCAATTGTAGCCCTCCATCACCATCTGATGGGCACGAGAAATAAAGGACAGATTGTTGCTGTAGAGGAAGGCCTCGGAGATGTCCTCGCCGAAATTGAACCCTGCCCCACGCGGGGACATGGCCCAGCCGCCTCTGTCCTCAGGGTCCGACCACAGCAGGTCGCTGACGGGTCCTTCGTGGGGGACCTCCTGGAACCGGTCCAGCACTCGAATGTGGTCGAGGGTGTCTATGGACGGCGACAGTCCGCCGTGGAGGCAGAAAATGCTGTCGTTGACGACGGCTGTCAAGGGGAAGTAGTCGAACAGATCGGTGAAGTATTTCCAGACGTTGGCGTTGCCGTACTTGACGAGGCACTCGTCGTAGAAGCCGTACACTTGCGAGCTCATTCGACATTCGTGGTTGCCTCGTAGCAGCGTTATCCTTTGCGGATAGCGAACCTATTTGAAGATGTATGGAATAAATCGGTCAAAACATACAGTCGATTACACTCTATTTGTTCTTGTCCCCCGATTATACTCTGCTTGTCCCAGATTATACTCTATCTGTCCCAGATTATACTCTAATTGTTACAGATTATGCTCTTCTTGTCCCATATTAAACTCTTCTTGTGCCCGATTATACTCTACCTGTCCCAGATTATACTCTTCTTGTCCCCGATTATACTCTGCCTGTACCAGATTGTACTCTACCTGTCCCAGATTATACTCTACTTGTCCCAGATTATACTCTACTTGTCCCAGATTATACTCTACTTTTCCCAGATTATACTCTACTTGTCCCATATTAAACTCTTCTTGTCCCCGATTATACTCTACCGGTCCCAGATTACACTCTACTTGTCCCAAGTCAGGACTTGCAATGTTTGACAAACATTTCCTACATTCCCTGACTGATATGTGGTTTTTTAAATTTAAAAAAAAAAGTTTAATAAATTAAACATTCTGTAGAATTCTGTAGGTTTATGTCTTAAATTAATGGTAGAAAAAAGTTACACCACACGGTGATGTACAATTTATTCAAATATTGGCCTCGATATCTTAATCCCGACTTAATAGGGCTTGATAGTTAATCCATCGAAGACGAAACTAGAAACTCAAAAGCTGGGCCCCGAGGAGTCGGATTAAACTATTTTTCCCCCTTACGATTTATTATAGAGAACATATCTTTATATGATTCTTTTTTTCCTTTTTCGTTATCAGCATTAACACATTTCTTATCTGCAATGGATGGCGTCACATGAGTCACACATAGGACTCCTTAAAATGAGCGTTTCTCATTGGAACTCCTGTAAAAATCTAAATACATTCAGCGTTTGAGCGTATGTGAAACCTACCTTTAGCGCCACCAGCAGGGACACGGTCTCAACAGAGTGGTACCCCCTGTCCACGTAGTCCCCCATAAACAGGTAATTCGTGTCCGGCACGCTCCCGCCGACCTTGAACAGTTCCAGAAGGTCGTAAAACTGACCGTGGATGTCTCCGCATACGGTAACCGGACACTGGACCATCTGGACATTGGACTCCGGGGAGATGACCTCTTTGGCCTTGTCGCACAGCGTCTTGACCTGGTCCTCTGGCAGCTGCTTGCACTGGTACAGCTGATCTAGCCATTCGTCCAGATCGCACACTTTATGGGTCATTTTTTTTACTGACCACCAAGTCACGCTACTTGGTACTAAGCAAGTTTTATATCTATACCAATAACGCGTGCTGCTGTCCCAAAGGGATACACGACCGAGTTTTGATAACTACACGCTATCGTGTTTAAAGTGTATTTAGGAATACACTCTTCTCTTAAGAAAAAGAAAATTCATACGAAACTCTTCCTTTGTTTAGTTGTGTGATTTTTAGGGTTCCCCCCCTAATCTTAATATTATTCTATATTTATGTACCATCTAACAAAGGATTAGTGTTCATTTCGTCACGAGTAAAAAGAAATATAAATGAACAGTCGACATTAGTTGGACTTCAAAAAGTAAACTTATTTCTTACAAAGTTATTACATTTATAGTGTAGATTTCTTTAACTATGCTATATTACTAGATTTACGTGTGTAGGGTCTCTCATGCAATTATCATGTATTATATCGTGTGGCACAGTTTCGTGAAAACAAATGTCCCAAAATGAAAACACGGAGTCTTGTAGTTTTTAGAAGTTACCATGTGTGTAAGACAGCGGCGATTATTGTACGAGATTGTTGCTTCGCACACGTCTTATATAATACGGTGACCAGGTGTGGAAGCTGTCCAACTACAACACAAGTCATTATTTCAATGAGTAATTACACACAATCAAGTCAGGCTTACTGATTACAAAATTTGGGTCAAGTGGGTCACACGCTAAGGTGACGTTATCGGGTAAAAACAAAAAAAAAATGTGTAAGGTAGACTCGTGGCTTTAAACAGGATAAATAATAATATAGGAACAACTGTCCAGCCAGACACCCACGGTGTAACTCGAGGGCTGACACGATGTCTCATCCCTATGCGTGTCCTACGTTCGCATTTTTTGTTTTTTAGTAAACCGTCGACTCGTGAAAACAAGATTGCATCAGCTACTTAACAGTCTTAGTGGATAACGTGCAGGACAATTGATGATACAACCCACGTTTCTGGTGATCTGTTGTTGAGCGTTTGTTATCTGTGGAAACGTGTCCTCGATTGATTCACACATCGTGTTCAGAGGTGCACAGTGACATGGTGCCTCCGCGGCTATAGGACTAAAGGGGCGCCCCTGTCAAGCTCTCTTCGGGTATTCGGGATTGCACAGAGTTGAGGTGAATGGGGGGGGGGGCGGGGGTTGGGGGGTGAGGGGGGGGGGGGAGGGGGAGAAATTTGGAAAGGTCAGGAGAGTGAGTTCTTAGGAGTGTGAAGTTGGAAACCGTTTTTAAAAATGGACTAAAGGGGCGCCCCTGTCAAGCTCTCTTCGGGTATTCGGGATTGCACAGAGTTGAGGTGAATGGGGGGGGGGCGGGGGTTGGAGGGTGAGGGGTGGGGAGGAGAGGTAGAAATTTGGAAAGGTCAGGAGAGTGAGTTCTTAGGAGTGTGAAGTTGGAAACCGTTTTTAAAAAAAATGTGGGTATAAGAAACTCTCTCTTTTGCAATGTGCGTAGTGTTGATTGTCAACACAGTGGCGTGGCTAGGGTTGGTGTCACCCGGTGCGGTCCGCACCCCCCCCCTCACCCCCCTAGCCACGCCACTGTGTCAACACAACCTAACAGAGCCACATGCCTGAAGATTTTGGGATTAATTATTTCTCCTTTACAATAAAAATTCACCTTTCTTGAAAACATATTCAGACAAATTACAATTCATGAAGATGTTTTTGCTTACACATAGTCGTATATTTGGTCATAGGTTTCTCATTAAATTATCACCGTTTGTGCGTCTATATAAAACACATCCTTTTTAATTTGCTTCAGAAACAGAATCATGATTTTTACACTTAATATGCTGTCTATGCAAAAAATCTTTTACAAATCGCTCCTTGGTCTGTTTTTATCATATAGTAACAATCTACGCATTTTTTAACGTCGTTATTATACTTTAAAAATGCAATAGGCGCTCTAAATCTAGTTACATTCTTGTTTCAGAACTTAGCCCCAAGCCGAGACGGAAGCAAAATCTGAGTGCCCTGCTTCTCTCCAAGTTGGCGAGTGTTGACAGCAAGGACATCAGGCAGACGATAGACGTGGAACATCACAATGAAGGTACGCCAATGACTTAAATATCTGACGCAACTATCGAATCGGTAGGTTAAACATGTGTCTAGTCACAGTTGAAGTTTTCAAAAAGGAAGATTAAAAAAAACACTATTTTTTTCTTTGTTTTATGCAGAAGTCTTTTTGATGATATCAATTTATGTGTGTGTGCTCAAAGTTGATTCCATTGGAACATTGACAATCTGTGTATTCTACGGCTTCTCCTAAGTTCTTTTGGCGGCAGAGCTAGAGCTCAACAAGCGGAGCTCAACAAGCGGAGCTCACCGTGCTGTTATTAGACAGTGAACCCATAGCCAGGGCCGTGCAAAGGGGGGGGGGGACCCCTGGCGCAAAACATGATGGGCGACAAAATCGTCTTTAAATAGGACCTTAATCTTAAATTTAAATACAAAATCCAAAGTCATTCACAAAACAGCACTTTTTATATATATATATAATGAGGGGCGGCATCTCCAGGACTTCCCCCGGGGCGCCACTTTCCCTCGGCACCGCCCCACACACGTAGCTGTCGTACTTTATAACTTATTGAGTGCTCAAGTTGATCTCACTGCTGACTTTGACGTGGATGAGCAGGGGAGAGTTTGTTTATACACTACGATAAACTATAGATTTCAATGAACAGATTTTATGATGAACATTTCCCAACTTTTCCCAGAGATTTATGGTGACATTGACTTCATCCACGCGGACGGTCAACGATCTGCGTCTAGGAACACATCAAACTTTGACAGCGTCAATGAGAAAGTGGAGCTGACCTTGACCCAAGGGAAGGCTTATGTTATTATTAAGGTAATTGAAACAATGAAAGTTTATTTCCTAACAAATTGTAATCGTAAACACTTGTTTGGAGTCATTATCATTTCATTACTCACGTTTAGCTTACATTTTTTATAGTCACATATAGCTTACAATTCAATAGTTACATATACCTTACATTTCAATAGTCACACATACCTTACATTTCAATAGTCACATATAGCCTACAATTCAATAGTCACATATACCTTACATTTCAATTGTCAAATATACCTTACATTTCAATAGTCACATATAGCCTACAATTCAATAGTCACATATACCTTACATTTCAATAGTCAAATATACCTTACATTTCAATAGTCACATATAGCCTACAATTTAATAGTCACATATACCTCAAATTTCAATAGTCACATATAGCCTACAATTTAATAGTCACATATACCTTACATTTCAATAGTCACATATACCTTACATTTCAATAGTCACATATAGCCTACAATTCAATAGTAACATATACCTTACATTTCAATAGTCACATATAGCCTACAATTCAATAGTCACATATACCTTACATTTCAATAGTCACATATACCTTACAGTTCAATAGTCACATATAGCCTACAATTCAATAGTCACATATACCTTACATTTCAATAGTCACATATAGCCTACAATTCAATAGTCACATATACCTCACATTTCAGTAGTCACATATAGCCTACAATTCAAAAGTCACATATACCTTACATTTCAATAGTCACATATAGCCTACAATTCAAAAGTCACATATACCTCACATTTCAATAGTCACTTATAGCCTACAATTCAAAAGTCACATATACCTTACATTTCAATAGTCACATATAGCCTAACATTCAATAGATAGTCACTTATAGTTATATTAGTTATATCATACAATTCAATAGATAATCACATACAGCTTAAAATTCGATATATGTTCACATAAGCCATGCAAAATTTCAATGGATAATCACATATAGCCAAAAATTCAGTGGCTAGTCACATATAGCCTAAAATACTATAGTCGCATATAGCCTAAAATACTATAGTCGCATATAGCCTAAAATTCAATAGCTAGTCACTTATAGTCTACATGTCAATCGATAGTCACTTATAGCCTATAATTCAATAGCTACTTTTAGCCTAAAATGATACAAAAAGTAATCTTGATCATAATTTGAAATTGGGTGTTTCAAGGAAATGTGCCTACTAATGAGTACCACTTAATGATAGCATACTTACAACCGGTCAAAAATAACGGGTAAGAAATATAGAAAAACTGTGCACATCAGCAGTACGTCGTAGGTAAAAAAATCATTCATTTTTCACCAAATTAACATGAATTATTTCCATTGAGATAGATTTTTTTTTGTTAACATTCGCGGCATTGTTTACATTGTGTCTTTTACTTAATATTATTCCCACCTAAAAATATTAAATTAAAAAACACAATGTAAAATAATGCCCTGAATGTTACCAAAAAATATATATATAATGGCATTGTCTATTTCAATTGAGATAGGAAATGCCCTTATATTTGTCTTTTTACTTAATATTATTCCCATCTAAAATTCAGCATGTGCCATACGTAGCAGTAATGAATCTTTCGCATCTTGAACGCGTAACTTGTATTTGTCAACGGTGCATAGCTCCAGCTGCAACGTGACCATGGACACAAGTGAAAACGATTGTATGTCGGAAGTTTTTTTGGAAGTGGGTCTCTGCACGAAGGAAAACATATTCATTCGTGAGCAATGTTTTTGCTTATACGTTAGTGAGCGCAAATGGTGATCGTGTTTGAAAAAAAATGTGGTCGGAAAATTCTGAGAGCGATATAAAAAAAAAATATAAAGACGGCATCAAGAAACACGGTTCTAGAAAGGTACTCTGTCAATAGAAAGAGAAATATGATGGACTAATTAAGTTCATGAATGTGACTTTCTGCGAAATATCACGCATTCCTATTTTTTCATAAACGGATCCTCGTAACACCATCGACAGAAATGTCCACAATACATCATCCCGGCTCACAGATCTGGCTCCGTCAAGAGTTGTCCAACCCGTATGCCTTATGAAAATGTACGCATGTTCTTAAACAATCGGCGACGGAAGTATCCCCGGTGTTTAGTTTTAAAGATGCTCTCCGTAAATTTCGTAGAGCCGAGCTCAGAACCTTCTAGAGAAACGGGGTTGATTCTCGTTATTGAAAAAAAATCACTGGTCTGACACATGCACTTCCATTAAGGCGAAAATTCGAAACAACAGACGCCGTAGCTGTGTTACTTGGTGTCGTATTATTAAATCTGTCTTTGAATTGTTCTGTCACATTTTATTGTCCAAACATGGCCCCCAAGCATAATCCCCTACGTACGAGTGAAATAGAGCTCGATCACAATTTTTTGCACATAGTGGGCCCTATGCCCAACAACAACAACGACTGCCAGAGACAACTTCCAGGACACCCCAGGAAAGCACGTGATGGATGGAGCTATGCACTGTTGACAAACGCACCTACGCGTTCAAGATACGGGACTTTCAGTACAGTTATTTTTGGCACATATTATATGATATAATTTCTCTTATAGTAAACATTAAAGTTAAAGCTGCTATTTTTTAAAATCATTATATACTTGAATCCTACATAATCCATAAATGTAGGCCTAGTAATCCGTACCGAACCTTTTTCCATCTCATGATTTATTTTCCACCAGGTTATCGCAGAGCGGATAGTTCCGACAGATTACGAGTTCAACGTTTGGCGTAAATCTCAGGCTATCGTCACCAGACAGATCGAGATAGACCTTCTGGCCAACGAACAGAGGAGGCGACTCTATCAACATGTCATGGAGAGCGCC